ACATCTTCATCACTCGCGAACTAATAGCCGAAAGGGTAATCAACTTTGAGCGTGATGACGATTGTGGATTCACATCTGTGATTAAAGATGCTGGGTTTGAGTCGACAGTTTCGGATCATGGTGGTTTCGACCATATGCTTGTTTCCAAATTCTATTCCAATTTGGGTAATGCGCCACCTGATGTAGATCGCGAAGGAGTATTTGTGTTTGTTCGAGGTGAGTTTGTTGAGTTCTCTCCACGGTGCATCACTCGGTTCTTTGGACGTCCAGAGCTGACTCTGGCTGAAGCAGAAGCTGCTGATAGAGCTAAGCGAGTAACGATGCCCACCATTGCAAAGTACCTACGGGGAAGGAGCACCAAGACTGATTCAGTTCTGACAACTGCTGAATTACCTCCGAAGTATGCAGCACTTGCAACACTTGCGTGCTACAATTGGATTCCCACGCATCACAAAGTCCATGTGGCTAAGGAACGAGCTCGACTGATCTACAATATGTGTCATCAGGTTCCTGTGGACTTTGGGAAGTTGGTGTATGATCAAGTTATGAAGCTGAAAAGTGTCCAGAGGCATCTTGTGTTTCCATACTTAATCTATGGGATGATTCAGACTCAACATGGGATTCAGGTGATTCTGATTCTCTTATTAATCCCAAGTTCTATCACAAGGATGTAAGGAGTGGACGCAAGGCTCTCAACCATGAGAAGATTGGTACAAAAGCTGGTGCAAAAATCAAAGAAGTTGCCTCGAGTAAGAAGAGGGTTCAGAACGTGGAGAGTCAGCCTGAGCCAAGAAAGAGAGTCAAGTCAGCACCACCTGCTTCATCTTATGCTCCGACTACACCTGCTGCAACGATCAATGTCTCCCTTGGTCATATCAGTGTGCCTCAAGGACACTCCAGCCAACGGGTTGTCAACAAGGCTTTGTATCAGACACAGGGGTTCTGTATCAACTGTCTGGAATAGTGCAGGATATTCATCAGGCTAATCAATGTAAGTCTTCGTGATCCCTGTTCCATTGTCTCTGCTCACTAATTATTTGTTTTTAACTTGTGTGCTCACAAGCAGGGGGAGAAAGTGAGAGTGATTGAGATGAGATCGTGGTTGATGGGGGAGCATGGCTGATTTCTTTTTAGACTTAGGGTAATTCAGACCATGAGACATAGGATTAAGGGGGAGTTTGGTTAAGTTAGGTTTTGGTTTTGGCTTTTGGAGTTCTAATTTTGTACTGTTCCAAACTCCAGTACTTTATTTGGATTTCGTTAAAACTTGTAATAACTTTTGCAAGTTTCTTCAGTACTGTTAACGCTTATTTGGAATCCTATTGTGCTTGGGTGCTTGTGTGGTTATCTGCGTGTTTTTGATCTTGTATTGCAGATACTTTGTGTGAGATTGAAGATGGTCATGCTGTAGCAGTGACCTGAACTAGTCATGAAGTACAACAGGAGTCTGTACAAACAGACGGACTGGGCTTGAAACTTTGTGGGCTTATGGAGTAAGTTGGGCCGAGCAAGGATGGCCATGACTTGATACTCTGGAAGATTTGAGAGAATCTGAACTTGGGGGCCAAGACTAGGTTTGGCCGTTTGCCTATTGTGTATAAATAGGTTGGCGTTAACTTGGGTATAGGTTAACACAATTAGCGCAGAATTCTTAGCAAGGGAATTAGGATTATCTAGCAAAAAGAGTGATCTTGATTCAAAGGGCTAAGGGGTAGAGAGTAGTTCACAAGATCGTGTGTGACTTGTGAACGTGTGAGGCTAGGATTGAAGTGAGACTGAAACTTGTAAGTGCACGAGTCATTCAATCTAGTTTACGTTTTTGAGAAAAACCCCTTGTGTTGTGTTCAGTTGTTGTACTAGTATCGTAATAACCTCTGCAGTAGTAGCTGATATATTTTCATATGTTGCATGTTCTTCTGTGTTTTCATACCCACAAAAAAGACCACGGGATACCGGACAAAATGGCTGTAGAAATCGCTTGTAATACCCTTCAACACGTTGATATTTAAGTTTCAAAAAAAAAAAAACACGTTGATATTCATAGTTTTTAACTGGTTTCACTCTATCTTAATTAGAATTATCTTGAATAAATTCATACACATTTATTAAGTCATAATCATAATTTTAATAAACAAAAAATTGTAAGGGTTTTTGACCTTTTTGTACGATTTTATTAAGTCATAATTATTATTTTAATTAACAAAAAAAATCTTCATTTTTAATCATTTATTATTATTACACATTAACATAATTTATGATAAAAAGTTCTAAAATAAAAATTTAACAATCTGAAAATACAAACTAACTAGAACATACATTAAATTTACATTATTTATTTTTATCACTATACTTGTTATATATCTGCA